GAGCTTGTTGAGTTTATTTTTTTCAAACGAGCCTAAAAAATTATTTAACATCTCGACCTATTGTTTGGAAAATTAATTGAGCCCGAGCCCGGGCCAAACTCGAGATGAGTCGAACTTACTTAAAAAATTATTCAAACTCAACTCGTTTAAAATACGAGTTGAGTCCTATCCGAACGGAATTAGAGTATTTCGTCTCAATTAACACCTTTACTATTATTTTTATACTCGCGGTTATAAGTTTGTTTCTTTACGTAATATACATTCACAAAAGCAAATATTATAATTTCATAATAATGATTAAGCATTTTGTATCAAAAAATTACTACTATTTCTTTCTTTTTAGCATAGTACATTATGCAAAATCGCCGATTGAAATTGGTTGGTGCCAACAAATAGATTTATTGTCGACTAAGATTTTGTTTTCCATAAAGAAAAATATACCACAAACTTTTTTCTATTAGGAAAAAGGGATGAGACTTGAATATGCATTTAATATTGTGCAATGGTCCTTATATCATTTGATTAGAGTGTTAATCGAGACGAGTTATTCGGGTTCGGTTTAAATAAAATTCAGTTCGAGTTCGATTCGTATTTTAAACGAGCTGAATATGAATAAATTTTTAGCCTCGTTTTAAAAAAACGAACCTGCAAGACCCTGCTCGATTAACACCCATTCATTTGACCTTCCTTGCCCTTAGGAGAACTAATTTACCGGTTGATGCTGTAGCAATACATTAACAGCAATAATTTGATTATTTCATGCAATATTTGTAACACTTAACATTCCACGAACAAATTTACCGAAAAAAAAAACATTCCACAAACAAAAAAAGAAAGGAGAGAGAGAAAAAAGAAAGAGAGAAGGGATATACTCGGTATGAATAAATTGTACCGATATCTCTAAAAGCATTTTATTTTATTTTTCAGAACACGAAATAAATATGTAAATACATAGGTCACTCTATATACTCGCTTGAGATTATTATTCCCCAGCATTACACAATTATATGCGAAAGACCCCATTGCACCTATGTCGGGAATGAAACTAAAGTTTTACAACATGAAACTATCGTAGTTGTAGAGATTCGGACGCAAAAATTGAGCGAAAAAATTCAAGATCTTACCTACTAAACCAACTGCTCAGTGGTATCGCTTAAAGTAATTTAACTACTTAAATTTATTCAAAAATTATTTCTTCATCATGTGAATTATCTATAATCATAAATTATAAATAAATAAAATAAAAAATAAAAAATAGTACAAAGGAATTATCTATTCTGCCCAATATTGCAGCTAATCTGTGATACCACATGTTACTACAAAACAACTGACCAAACCGGAGCACGTGCCTCACGGCCGCCACAAACATAAGCTAAATAGAAACCTAAGCTCGTTGTTTGAAACTCTGATTAGGTACTACGTAGCTAAGCAGCGCCGGCTTTCATAGACTCCGCGATTAAATCGGCCGTGGCTTCCTTCGTGGAACCCACCCGCCACATTTGTCTCTCTCACTCTACACCCCACCCCCAACAAAAATTTAGCTCAAATCCACTCCAAATTCACCCCAAATTCACTCCACTCTTTCTCTCCTCTCCTATCTTCTCTCCCCGCCACAACTCTCTCTCCCTCCGCCGGAAAAAAGCTTTACCCACCAAACCTTTAACTCCTAAACCTTTCTCATACTCGTCAAACCAATTAACTCTGTTTTTACCTCTGTAGAACAACCTGGACAACCAGTTACCGCTCGATGGAATGACGGACTTCCGGCTACCACCGACGACTATGAATCTTTGGGCGACCACCGACGATAATACTTCAATGATGGAAGCTTTTATGTCTTCCGATCTGTCGCCGTTTTGGCCGCCCCCACCGTCACTGCTACCAGCACCGCCACAATCTTCTGCAGCTTCAACAACAACGAATACAATTGACCCGACAAAGAGTTTGATCCAATCTCAACCGTCCGCTCCTTTCTTCAACCAAGAGTCCCTTCAACAGCGCCTTCAAGCCCTAATTGATGGCTCTCGAGAGAGCTGGACCTACGCTATATTCTGGCAAGCTTCGGCCGGTGATTACGCGGGTCCATCGTTGTTAGGGTGGGGTGACGGATACTACAAAGGGGAAGAAGATAAAGGAAAGCGCAAAACGGCGTCGTCTGTAACCTCGGCTGCTGAACAAGAGCATCGGAAAAAGGTCCTCCGTGAGCTCAATTCTCTTATTTCCGGTCAACAAGCCTCCCCTGACGAAGCCGTCGATGAAGAAGTGACAGACACGGAGTGGTTTTTCTTGGTTTCGATGACTCAGTCGTTCGTTAATGGAAATGGACTTCCAGGCCAGGCCTGCTTCAATTCGGCTCCGGTTTGGGTCGCCGGAGCGGAAAGACTCGCGACGTCTAACTGCGAGCGAGCCCGTCAAGCTCAAGGGTTTGGCTTACAAACCTTGGTCTGTATACCATGCTCAAATGGTGTGGTGGAGCTGGGTTCAACTGAATTGAAGTTTCAGAGCTCGGATCTTATGAATAAGGTTAGGGTTTTGTTCAATTACAAGAGTATAGAGATGGGCTCGGGATCTGGCTCAGGGTCAGGCTCGTGGGCTTTGCCGACTGATCATGGCGAGAATGATCCGTCGGCGCTTTGGCTTACCGATCCTTCGCCGCCGGCTAAGGAGTCTATTGATACTGCTCCGGCGAATTCAATTCCTTCGAGTAATCTGTTAGTGTCCAAGCAAACAGTGTTTGAAAATCCTAGTTCGAGTACGTTGACTGAAACTCCTAGTTCAATTCATGTTCACAGTCACCCTCCACAGCACCAAAGCCAAGCACAGGGGTTTTTCACCAGGGAATTGAATTTCTTTGAATCTGGGTTTGATGGAAATAGCATTAGAAATGTGAATTCACTTTCGTGCAAGCCCGAATCGGGGGAGATATTGAATTTTGGGGAGAGGAAGAGAAGTTCAAGTAATGGAAATGGAAATTTGTTTTCGGGTCAATTGCAATTTGGGGCTGCAGAGGAGAACAAAAAGAAGAGATCTCCCACCTCGAGGGAGAGTAATGAAGAGGGTATGCTTTCCTTTACTTCGGGTGTGATTTTGCCTTCTTCGGGTACCGTGAAGTCGAGTGGTGGTGTTGGTGGTGGAGAGTCAGATCAGTCCGATCTTGAGGCTTCGGTGGTGAAAGAGGTTGATAGTAGTAGAGTGGTGGACACTGAAAAACGACCGAGAAAGAGGGGAAGGAAGCCTGCCAATGGGAGAGAAGAGCCATTGAATCATGTTGAGGCAGAGAGGCAGAGGAGAGAGAAGCTTAATCAGAGGTTCTATGCCCTCCGAGCTGTGGTTCCGAACGTGTCGAAAATGGACAAGGCTTCACTTCTTGGTGATGCTATTGCCCATATCAATGAGCTGAAATCGAAACTTCAAAGTACGGAATCAGATAAAGATGACTTGAGGAATCTAGTGGAGTCATTGAAGAAGGAATTGTCTAGCAAAGAATCGCGGTATTCAGCTCCACCTCCACCAGATCAGGATTTGAAAATGTCGAATCATCATGGAAGCAATAGGGTAGATGTGGATATAGATGTGAGGATAATTGGGTGGGACGCCATGATTCGAATCCAATGTAGTAAAAAGAACCACCCGGCAGCAAGGCTAATGACAGCCCTTAAGGAGCTAGACCTAGATGTGCACCATGCCAGTGTTTCTGTAGTGAACGAATTGATGATTCAGCAAGCCACGGTGAAGATGGGGAGCCGGATTTACACGCAAGAACAGCTTAAGATAGCCTTATCATCCAGAGTTTCCGAAACATGATAAGCATTGGGATAGGGGGCTTGCACTTTACAATAAGCTTCAAAGACTAGATTGCTTTGTCAATTGTGTTTTAAGACTGGGAAATTTTGAGGCTCCCAGAAGTTAAAACTCTGTACAATACTTCCTCCCTGCTCGGTCCTTTAGTAGTTTTTAGTATATCCCCGAGGTTGAGGCCAATCTAGATTGAAAGCCAGGTGAACACGGCTTTGATATTATTTTTCGTGTTGATCTTCTGTCTAGTTCGTGTCTAGTCGTGTATACCTCTCGTGTATATAAGCATAGAACCTGGTGAACTTATCGGGTTCTTAGCCATGTCAACTGAAGATCATATGCTGCTTGTTATGTATCTATGATCTGCATATGTTTTATGTACCTGTATTGTCTGTCAATTAGTGTTCTTGATTGATTTAAACCATTTGAAGAACGAAATTCATTAAACATAAGCTATCATATCTTTTTTTTTTTTTAATCAGACACATTGTTTCTTGAAGTAGACGTCTGATTAAACAAATATGGAGAGACAAGATCCATAATTCTGGAGGTAGACATTAAAGCCCACATGGTTTTCCTGAGAGTTTATGTGAAAATTGGACCATATGAAATCCACGATCAATTATCCTGTACTTCATGTCTTCAATTAGACCATGACCTTGCAGCATATGCAAACAAAAAAAGTACCAAATAATAACACCATGACCTTAGCCCGGGCTGTCTGCCTCTTGATTCTCTTCTCATCATCGAGGTTAGCCATTCGAGTCTCATAAAAGGTCTTAAGATCCGAGTTTGATTCTCGGATTTCTCGATTCTTCTGTGGCAACCCTTCTCTTCCATCAACTAGACAGTTACTTGCTCAAGAGAATATGCTTATTCTCACAATGTACCAACATGTTGATCATTTTAAATTTCATATGTAAGTATAATTTTTGAATCCCAGAATGTACTAATTCTTGAGAGGGGCTAAAAGAAGTTCTTTCTTATTTTGCTCAAATTAGATGGAATTCATTTAGATAGATTTGCTTTATATAATCAACTGTCCACTAGGAATTGTTTTATTTCCTCTACCCCACCACCTTAAAACTACTATTCTAACTGGGGATTGATGGCCTTTGCTTTTCACAACCACTGCCCTGTGTTGCAGAGCTTTAGTTTATGCTAGATTCTTTATTATTTTTTTTTATTGTTCCGCTCAAAAGATAAATTTTTTTTGGCCCAAGGCCATCCTGCTCGGGTCAAGTCGTGATTGGTGGCACGCTCACATGTGATAACCAAAGTTGTGTAAGTGCTCCCTCTTTTCACAAAAATGTGGTAACCTTTTCTGAAGTAGGTGACTCCCATTATTACACGTGTTATGACATTAAATGAGCCCATGTGAGGATGACAAGACAAGGCATGTGAGGATAATATCAGTCAAACAGGTCTAGCCGAACTGATTAATATGTTCGGCTAGCAGTGAAAGAACTCGGCTTTTACCAAACCGTGCTGTTCAAGGTGTTCGGTGAGTAACGAAAAAGCTCGGTCCTCGTTATGACCGAGCCGTTTTGAAACAGTAAATAAAAAAATAAAGATTCGCCAAAAATTTAGGCGTTCAAGATAAGCTAATGAGCTTAATTATAGGCCAAAGGAACTACCAAAGAGATTTCAGCAACTTTCCAAACTGAATCGCTTAATAAGAGGAAGGTGTGCCACCTTAAATCGAAATTTATGGAAACCCTGACTAAACAAGGTTTATAAAAAGCAAAAGGAGCCAAGGTAAAAAGTGCACTGAATTCTTTTTGTTCTATTTGCAATTCATTTAATTTCATTACTGACTTAAGGATCGGAGTGCTTTCGATTGAAACACTTTGATCCTGAGCAGTTTGCTCGTTTTACAGAAACAAAAGACTGGGAGATCAAGTTCAGAAACTCTATTTTTCCAAATTACCTAGTCATCACTTAGGTAATTTCATTTTTTGCCTCTTTTCACAAAAATGCAGTAACCTTTTTGTAATTGATGAATTCCGTATAATTTCCCATATTATACCTAATATTCCTTATTTTAGGCAATATCTAAACCTCGTGATTTTACCTAAATTATTGTCCTAAAATCCATCGTTGTTGTCATCGTATTGGAAATGAACTCCATGAGCACCATCTAATATTGAGAATAGTATAATTCGATCAACAAATTTCAAGTTATGTTCATGGGATAAAGACATTGTAATCTGTTTGAATCCATCTATATCTTTTATTCATGCACTTTCATAATCTCTAATTTGTCATTTCTTGTGAGATATAAGTGTGCAACACGGAAAAGTTTTTTTAATCATATAAAAGGGTGACAGGTTGATGAAACTGGTGGTGGCGAAATGATAACGAAAACAAATTTGGCTGAAAATAGTCTCAAACCCACCATTATGAGTATGAAAACAATCAACTTTTAGTCTTTAACAACTTTTTTTTTGTTTTTGGGGTCCACCCCAAACTTTTTTCCTTTCTTTAGTTTGGAGCTCCTGTGCTTATGTTCATGAAGGAGCGCAAGCAGAAACTAAAACACAGGGCAGGTGCAATGTAACTTCAGATGAATTGAATCCATAAAATTCACGACTGTCTTAGCTTTCAATTCACATCTGCCTGTGAAATGCATAGATGGCAAGCAGATTAAATGTATAGTTAAACATTTCCATCACAAACTGTGTCTTGGCAAATTCCCTCGTTGGACGAGCACGGGCATAGTCAAGTAAAATTGGGTCACGTAGCTTGATTTTTCGATTGAAAACAAATCAGAGATGCTATGATGTTATATAACTAAATATAGTTCTTTGATTCAGAGTTTTTTTTTTTTGATCCTTTTGAATTGTACATTTGAAATTGCATCGTCATCTCTTAAACTCAGTACACAAATAAGAAATTTGACCCCGAGTAAGAAAGAGGCGCATTGTGGCATATTAGAAATACATTCATTTAATTTTTATTTTTTACTCCTATTTAGCTTTTTATTTGTTTTAATTTATTTTATAAGAATTTCTAAATTCTTTGGAATTCATTTATTAGTGTATAATTTTATATATATCTATATGAAGATGTAAAGTCCTAAATATATTAAATTATTATACACATGTCATTACAAGATTGAATTCTACGGTCAAATTAGTATGCAATAATTTAATAATATTATAAGCGATCTAATCAATTTATTTAACAAAATAATTTTTTTAAAAAAAAATAACAGATTAAGTACTCAAAATAATTGTTTTCGTGCAACGCAAATCATGCATTGCTATTGTATATAAAGGTGAGTATCTGCTGTGGTAATAGAAATCATCCCAACCATAGTCATTAGATTATATGAAGTCCCACAATCCTCTTTCACCAAAAGCCTTCCAGCAATAACCACTTTCACCGTGCAGAAAAATAAACCCCATTCAACTACCTTTATTTTGCAACTTTTGTCACCTTTAAGAAATATCAATTAACATGTCACAACCATAGTAATTAGATTAGATGATTAGTAAAACCAATTAAACCCACTAATCCAGATCAATTTAGCAAACTTATTACCAAATTAGTATTGGCTCAGCTGTATTTTCGGATCTAATCTCCAACAGAAACCCCAAGGAATGGTTGTTGTTAACCAGAGAGCTTGTTTCTCCAAGAAAAATGGAAGATTTACACCAAACCAATCTCTCTCACCACCAAAAACATCTGTAAATCCCAATCCCAATCTTTACTTTCATTTCTTTGTCCACCTAAAATAGCATGCAGACAAACTACCCCCCCCCCCCCCCCTCTTCTCTCTCTCTTCCAGGTTTCCTCCAGACCTCTTCTCTCAACCAGCCCAACGGCCATTAACCCCTTTGTCACGTAAAACTCTCTCTCCATCATCACCATGAGTCTCAACTGCTTGACCTGCCAGAGCATGCGAAGGACCGACTCAAAGAAGGAACTCAGAGAGGGAATATTTGATCATGAGAAGCCAAATTTGAGCCTGTGTTTGGGAGGGTTGAGAGGAGCTGGTCGGGAAACTTGGCGCCACCACGGCCTTACGAGAAGTTCAAGAAGGCGACTCATAGGATTCATAGCAGCGGACCTGTCGAGTTTGAGAGTGGTGCACCAAAATTGGTGAGGAGCTGTGGGATGAGAAGGGACTGGAGCTTTGAGGATCTGAGACAGAGAGTGCAGGGATAATGAGGAGGAGGGGAAGAGGAGAGAGAATTAGAAGCATTTTATTGCTATAATTTTTCTCTCCTTTTTTATCTACTAACGTTTGGAATGTTGTATAATTTTTTCCATTAGCTTTTGCTTTTCCTTTGTCTTATGGTCATGAGTCCAAATAAATTGCATATGTATTGTTTGAAGCTTGATCAATGAGTGCAGAGTCTATAACGTGGATTGCAGATATCTAAGATTTTGATCTATTTTCACCATAATCATATATTTTTTGAACTCATAATTCTAATACGAATGTTGAAAGTGTAGAATTAATCACAAATCACGTGCGTTGGTTGAACTAGAATTCTCTCACAAGACTCGATCTTAGGATCTCAACGTAGAAATTTCATAAAATCTTGTCGTTCAACATATCGTGATTGATTTATAGGTGTGTAAGTTGGTAGGTTGAACGGGTCAAGAGCCTGGCTCTACCCAAAATATGATACTTTTAGTTTGTGTTCAATTCAATCTGAATTTTAACTGGAGCGCTTCAAACTGCAACAGCCATCAGAGTTGCCTTATTCCTGGTGTAGAGCACTAAGCAAAGAAAAAATACAAGATTCAAGTCCCACCGGTTATCACTCAAGTTGGTGGTCTAGTGATAAATCGTACTCGTTTAAGATTGTTATTAACTCTCATATAATTATCAAGTAGAGTTCAATTCACGGGAACAATCCAATTTAATGCTTGACTTTGGTGGTACTATAGTGACAGACTATTCTTTCGGATTAGTAAAAATAACTCAACTAGACATTTCACGGTAGGAGGGACTCTCGTGGTCACACCCAGGGTGGATTACTACCTACTGGTCGCCCCTCTCCTCTTTTCCAATAGTTAAAAAAAAAGTCTCACTGGTCACAGACAATTCTTATTTAGCCTATTCATATAGTTAGCAGGTGATTGCATTGCAGTCATGGGTATAAAAGACACGTCAAAATGATTTTTGTCTTTTAAAAAAGGCCAATAGATTAACATACTTGATGTGTGCATTCCTGCAGTAACATAGACACTATCAACTGTAATTTAGGCCTGAGATTTCAAGCTATAAGCATTGAATTGTCTTCAAATGCTACCCAGCCTCTTGATAGAAAATGCACAACCAAACTGCTAACAAGGGGGTTTGTCGATTGATTTTTTGAAGTGTCTGCATTTACAAAATCGAAAATTCTATACCAAAATTAAAAATAAGAACCATTGCTGACAAACCCAAAAGTAAAATGATTCACCACACATCTTCAGATGTATTCCTACTGAAATAGTTGTGTTAACTGGAAATTAAGCAGTAGGACATTAACTTCCACACCAGTAAGCAACTCAACAATACCTTCTTTAGCTTTTTTTATTTCTCGCTTCCGCCTTCCAATGTCTTTTGCTGAGTGTAGTCCTAGGTGTTTCACTACTTGATGGAGGGTCTGCCCCAAATCTGGATGGCAAGAAGGGTGCTTCACTTCCACTAACTGATGTTGGTTCAAGACTTGCAGGGTCACTGGACTTGATTTCTTGTTCATGGACAACATGGGCCCTTCTGGCATCTTTTTTCCAATCTCTTTGACAATGAATTCGCGTCACGCCATCATGAGAAGTGCTATTCACCTGTATTTCCACTTGCAATGGAGTTGATTGTGAACCAATACCTGCCTTCTTTATATCAGCTTCACGGCGCTTTCTAGCCCTGTATCTACGTTGCCGTTCTCGATTCTTGAGACGTCGATTCATAATGTCATGAATGCTCCCAGCTTGTTTTCTTTGACCGAGAGAATTCATTACAGAACTATCCACTGTAGAAGCATTAATATTTGGTCCATTTTCCATTTTTCAAACAGCGGCCAAAGGATCTGAATAGATAACTTACTATCATAAGAGTTTTAAAATGAAAATTCGAATCAGATTATTGAGTTGATATAAAGTTTGAGTTTGTTACCACTAAAAATGAGCTATTCATTCCATGCAAAACCTGTTGATGTCAAGGTCATCTGTCCAATGTGTCCACCAACTGCTTGAGAAGAATAAACCTCACTCCACTGGGCATACATTGACCTGCAAATGGTTCCTATCGTGGAGTCAAGGTAATATCTGAGAGTGTAAGCAATAGTATGTACAACTTCCTTTCGAAAGTGAGAGAACAATTTTGACTTTCAATGTGTCCAAAAAAGCATTCTGTAAACTTTATATGGGTTTCTACATGTCTTCGTATTGGTATACAGCCCAATTCTGCAGCTTTTTAAATGAGGTGCAAAACGGTGAGAAGCTTAATAAGAATGTAAATATTTACACTGATGGAGGACCTCTCACAGGTAAGACAAGCCATCCTACAAGGGAAACCCCACCACCTCACACCCCAACTTTTTCTGCCACCTTCATTCCTAAAAGGGTGCCAGTCGACAGCCCCAAATAAGCATTTCAGACATTTGCCTTGCCAAGAACCTCAGACATGACCTTAGGACAACTGCACCTCTTGGCCCTTTGCTAGAAAATGAAGACGGGATGTTCACCAAAGAAAGCAAGAATCTAGAACTTGGCTCGCAGATAGGCATTCTTACGAAGACTACAACATCATTATGGGAACCTTGGAACTTTCAGCACACCTTACTCATGGTTTGAGTCTTAACTCCTGATAACAATTTAATCAAATGCTAGCTATGTGGCACTCTTTTCTCTTGTCATGTGGCACAGCAGGTATATGTTAGAGACACTTTATACCAAATTATTCCTGGATACTCAGACAAACTCACTAAAAAATGGGATAAAAAACCTTAAACTTCTCCGAGCTCACCCCATGGCAGTCACACGGAGAAGTATGGAGCATTAAATCTGCAACATTGTAACTGTCCAAGTACGATACGAACTCGAAGATATCCTACCCCCCTAGTACTTAAAATACATTCTGTATCAAAAATTCATTCGTCAAGTCCTTATCTAGAATCAAACTAAGGAAATGGCATGCTCATGTGCCAGTCTACTTGTGTGCCGGCAAAAATGCTACCAAAAAACATTTTTGTAATATGCAACCTTAAACATTCATTTGCAAATAAAGCCGGGTGGTTACACATTACATTGTCAGTAAACATCAGAGTGATGTTTCAAAGCAACTGCACCACACAATCAATTGCACCCCAATACCATTGCTAATTTCAACAAGTCAATGAGATCTCCTGAGGTTGGCCTACCTATTGGCAGTTTCAGCACAAATTCCCAAATAGTCGTAATGAAGCAATGCCCAATCAATAAGCATTAGAAATACAGCTGTGAGCAGCACAAACACAGTCTAGAACATCCACATACTATAAACATAATTCAAAAAGAAGATCCATCAAGAGCTGGTAGAAAATCTCCTACCATATAGAATAAAAACTAAATCTCCCTGACCATAAAATCAGAAACAAAGATTTGAAGCCTCACAACAGCTGCCATCTCATCTTACCATACAATAAATAATAAGGTAAAACCACATAGAGGGAAAGCTTTGGAAAAAAGTAAAGCTATACAAAAGAAACACCATGCTTCAATAGCTGGCAACAATCATCTAATGCATGGGTAAAATGAGAAATAACTCAATGATTAAATTCTAAAAGTATAAATTCGAGCATTAAAAAGACAAAACGCATTGCATCTACCATTATAATAATCATTTTTGTTAACTTATGAGGCCAACTTTCAATAAACGCAACCCACAAGATTAAAGGCCACACACAATAAATATGAGGGCAATAGTAAAAATTTCAATGCCCTGAGATATGATAAATTGATCATTTGCTCTATCTTGTATGAACCGCCCGTATGGAGGAACTAACTGAATAACAGAAGATCCACAGAATCAGCCCTCGATAAAAGATAAAAGGAAAACACATCACAATTATGCATCATCATTTTTACGAGCGAGCTTAGAGCAACCAGTTTCACAGCCCAAAATCAAATAGATGATTCCTGGAAATGAATGTAATTGAGGCGTGAAGTAGAACTTGGGCTATTCATGAGCAAAAAAAATCAAACGCCAGAAAGAGAGAATGCGCACACCGTAACCACGAAAAATTTCAGAAACAGACCAGAATTTTCACTAATGTATTGCGAATGATTAAGAATGCTAGTTGTTTGTCAAAAAATAGGAAAGATGGACGATGATGTCATCTTGAAGCCATTTATTATCATCATTTTTTTTTCTTCCATTTTTGTCGGGTTAGGTTCAAGCTGTTGCCGACACAAAGCTGTTGTGCAACATAAACCTGACCCGATACTTGATGGGTTAGATCCATTTCTTGTAATCTTTCATTTTGTGTTGTGAGTTGGGATTGAAACATATAAGGAAGTTTTGGCGGGAATTGAAAGAAAAAGTGAAAAACTATGGCTTCATGCTATCCGCCACCGCTACAAAAATAACTACTACATAAAGGACAGAGAGTTCTAGAGGACACATGGTCAACAGCATCTCAAGTGATCAAAACATTCAACCTTCGTTAGTATAACACGCTGTCCACGTTTCTTAAATCCATAACGGACATGAGCACCTAAATATTAGCTTCCCAGTGTAGGATGCCAAAGACAAGTACCTCAGAGAACAGCTAACATTTGGAATTTAATGTTTGATAGATCAATTGTTAATCATAACGAAATCACATTAACTTGGAAAAGTAAGCAAAACATTTCAGGCTTCAATTATTGAATGTCATCACAAGTTCAACGAAAGTATTTAACTAAATTAAGCAATGCAACTTAGCACAGATACCCTTTTTAAGAAATTGCCCAAAGTCAATCCAGAACTTGTTATTTCATAATCACATATATCAAACTGAAGAGCCCTCTCTTGATATGGCAATCCGTTATAAGAAACACAAAGAGAACTCAATTATGAAATAAGCCTTCTTTTCAAGTACAACATAGATTAAAAAAAACAATCTTTAGCATCTAATCCAGACAAATAATTAGATTATGAGAGACATAACATAGAATGCAATAGAATGATTAAGAAACCGAAGGTATACAATCCTTAAATACATGACAATGTTGAGAATAAGAAACAAAATCGTATCTGAAAAAGAAAACCTGAATCAAGGAAAAGAAAAAAAGAGGGTACCTTCTGGAGAAGGATTGTGAATTCAAAGGTGTAAATGCAGATAGATGTAACAAACCCTAAGCATGCTGAGTAAGAAAACAGGAAAGAGAGTTAAGGTGGGTGTTTTTGGTGGTGGGCGGGTGAGAGACAAAGAAGGGCAAAGAGCAAAATTGTCGGAAATTACGAAGAGGACATAAGATCTCATTAAGAACCCCAAAGCACAACTCTTTCCCTGTCGGTGAAATGAAACTGTCCAATTCTTTGACCAACAACGTTGTTCAGACGTTACTTGGAACACCTCAGGCTCAGTGTACCCTATTGCATTGACTTGCTATCCGTGACAGCCACGTGTCCGTATTTGCCCTTAAACTCTAGAAAATTATTATTTGTATATAACTTAAACTAACTTTGACCACAACGGGGTGGTGGCGCAGTTGGCTAGCGCGTAGGTCTCATAGCTTCTGAGTTATCCTGAGGTCGAGAGTTCGAGCCTCTCTCACCCCAATTCATGTTTTCTGTTCTATTTTTCTTTTCTTTTTTTATCCTGCCAAACAAATAGATTATTGAAAAAAAAAATAATCAGTTGAAACTAGGTAGGACAGAGCTAATCTGGTTGATCAAAGTTAGGAAGATTAATTTGAGCGCCTTGACTTAAAAGATCGTGAACCCTAATTAAATAATGGGTATGTTTGAAGCTGATTTTTTTAAGTGAAAAGTTTCTTAAAAAAATCAGAGTTAAAAAAGTTACTCAAAACCGTTTGAAGTGTTTTTTAAAAAACTAAAAATGTTGGAAAAATTTGTTTTGAGTCACTTTTGAGCTTTTTTGTGCCAAAATAAAAAAATAATTATATATATATGTATAGATTATATATAATAAATTTTAAAATATGAAATTTATATTTTTTTATGTCACTAATACTATTTTATGAATATAATAAACTAAAAAGTTATATAGGATCCGCAACAAAACTCCAAAAAATTGAAAGAAAAATTTAAAAAATCAACTTCTTAAATCAACAAAAATAATTTTTTTTAAATTCAAATAACTGCTGCATAAGCTGGTAAAAAAAATCAAGATTTAAATAGACTTGACTTATTTTATTTCAAAACCTTAAAAATTATTTATTTAAACTAGCTCTAATCAGACCTAATATATTATAATTCACTTATGGTAAAAAATAGCACTCAAAGGCTACTGAGTTTTGATCTATTTGGTGATGGAGCCCTTTGACGAGGTTGGAGGACTAGAGTCAACAAAGTTACGCCCTTATACTTGTGGAAAATGTATATATTTCCCTTTTTATTCATTGCTTCGCTCTCATTTTCGAACTTACGAATAAAGCGGTTCATTCAATTGCGACATATATTATTATCCAATCTCTTTCTCAAATTGAGGAACTTCTCCTCCATCTAGAAGAGTGTGGTGGTTTAGAATGCGATTTCCGATCTACGATCTCTTCTAACGATGCGTTAGATAGGTAATATAGATCATCAGACTTTCAACTATGTATTATACTATTCTTATGATCCGAATTACTTTACCCAAAATATGAAAGCTCTCGTCTTAGAACCACTAATTACGATTCCATAATCCACCCAGTTTCAACCACCATATTGTTCAACTATCAATCTGTGGTGTGCATTATTTTTCCAGCAAGCTCATGTAGCTATGTTGACATAATTCATAATTCGACTCCTGAATTCTCAAAACACAATCATAAATTTACTTTGAAACCATTCTTAGCTTAGCTACCAATCACAAGTATGACAGGTAAAAAGTTATATCATACCCGCTTCGTATTTTGCTTATGTCTTACACCCTAAAATTTGTTCAATTCGTACTCAATCGATTAATAGTAAATGCTAATAATTGTGTTATAGATGGATCATATTCTGTCACATTAGTGGCGGGTATAATTCAGTTAGTGTTCGATTTGGCCGCTCAACTGGGTTACAATTTAGAACTGTTGTATCAAATCTACACTGGTATGTTCCATAATCATCTACGAGTTGGCGAGTCGTATTAAGAATTAATCATAATATTCGGTAGAACCACATTTCAGTCTCCTCTTTGAAAAAATTTCTATTACAAATTATTAAATTGTGTTTTATTCCAAATTCGTGTCATGTATAATTTAATTAGTATTTAATTTGGTCAATCTACTCGTTTATAATTCAAAGCCATTAAAATTACATTTATGTAGAATAGTCTTATACGAGTTGACAAGTCGTATAAAAATTGATTGTAGTATTCGTTACAATCACGTTTCAATATGAAGAATTAATCGTAGTATTCGTTACGATCACGTTTCAATCTCCTCTTCAAAAAGACTTTCTGATACAAATTCCTAAAGCTTTTAGATTCATTTCAACACGTTGGCTGCTCTTGCAATGTGCGCTTACGCCTAACTTGTACAACGTTGGGAGTTTGTGTGCAGTCATTTGCATGATAGCAATACAGTAAATATCAGATGAATCATATATACATTGAATCCATGACGCCCTGTGAGGCAGTCGCTTAGGCCCCCCACTTGTCGTGGGCCCCACTGGCATGTGTATCTTAAAATAATATAATTGAATAAAAAAAAAGTAAGTCGTTAATTTAAACAATAATTTTAAAAAAATTAAATCATAAATATATGTGCATTAAAAAAAAAAATAATCCTATTATATTCTTGTATAAAGAATACAAGATTCTACTCTTTGATTTTATTTGAACTCTCAATAAGTTTAGTCAATTTATTCAGTTTAATTTTCTTGAACTATAATTTTAAAATAATTTTGATCTTAATATAATCATTCGCATAATGTATTTATTTTATAAGTTATTTTCAACCTTAAATATACCTACTAAAATATATGAATTTAAATATTTAAAATTTAAAAAAACAACTAAATTATTCATCTAAAAATAATTTAGGATTTTATCTAAAATTTTTGTCTAAGGCCTCAAGTATTCTTAGGCGGCTCAGATGACATCCAAATTACAACAGGACAATTTAATTACTTGAAATGATCAAATATATTTAATTTTATCGTTCCATGTACATATATTATTTTTGTAACTCAAACTCGTGAAAAAGATATTTATGCGCCCTCTCTTATAACAGTTCTGTGGGGTACCCTACTTTTATTTTGTGCTGGTCAACTTGTTGGTTGTGGCCAGATATGATTATATAGGGACTTTAATTACTTTTATCCTTTGAAGGAAGGTGATTTTTTTTTTCAGAATCTTTTGAGATTTTGTTTATCGTAAACATACTTGTAATTTTCATTAAACTGGAAAGTCTTTGTGCGTGCAAGATCCTGCACAATATAAAAAAATATTAGGAACAGATCTCTCCCCTGGTGAACTTTGAGTGTG